AATGAATGGGAAACCATTTTCTCAGTGGTACTGACTATATACCCTGCTGCTGTGCAGTAATTAACACAAACTTAGCAGCTTAACACAGCATCCATTTATTGTCTGCAGTTTATGTAGGTGACTAGCCACAGGGTCTTATGAGGTGGACATCAGGGTGTGAATTGGGCTGCATTGTTTGTGGAACTCATAATCCTTATTCAAACTCACATGAGAGTTGGCAGAACTGAATTCTTTGGAATTACAGGATGATGGCCTTCAGCTCCTAGAGGATTCCCATGGCCCCTTGCCACATGGGCTGTCTTCACATCATAGCTTTTTGCTTTTTCAAGGCCAGCAGGAGAATCATTGAGAATCATTCAGTTTCTGGGCCTGGAGCAACAGGACTGATTCAAACCCACTTCCTTTTGATCTATTCATAGTCAAATGATGAGAGACCTTAAATGCACCTGCAAAAGCCTCTCACCTCTGACATGCAGGAGTGGCAGCCATCATATTTACACTCAAGGGTGGGGATTATATAAGGATGTGGTTCACTGAGGATCCATATACAATTCTGACCCTGCAGTGCATTAGAGAACTAATTGGGAGCTGAAGATATTTAGTAGGTTTTTGAAGAGTCGTGCTTGAAACTATAAGCAAAATAGAGCATGGAGGAGTAAGAATGGAAACAGAGACACCTTAGGAGGCAGTGTAAGAACTGGGCTGAGAAACAGGGGTGTTTTAGATGAGGGTAGTTTTGGTAGAGATAAAGAGGGTAGGAATCAAGATGTGTTTTGATAAAATTTGCTGATAGATTCAAGAGAGAGTTTGAGCAGAAGAGGAGCCAGCAGTGATTCCCAGGTTTCTGACTTGATTGCTGGAAGACTAAGATGGGGAAGAGTGAGCTGGACAAGAGCTTCATGGTGGGCGTGAGAGGGTTGAAGTGCTTATTAGATCCCCACTAGAGATGTGGCTGCTGGTTCAAGGAAGATGAGCACGACCTACCATTGGGGTTACACCTGTGGACGTCATTGATGATCTAGACAGGAGCTGCTTTCTTGTTGTGATGGGGGAAAAAATGTCTCACTGGAATGAGCCTGAGCAGGAACAGAATTGGAGACTTCAGTGTCGACTCCTAGGGGAGATTGGTGCCGAAAGGGTGGAGAACACAGCATTAGGGCAGTTGCTGAAGATGAGGTGAATCAAGAGAGGATTTTTTAAGATAGACAATATTATAGAAATTTGTGTGACTGTGTCAATGATCAGCAATAAGGCTTAAGTAGCTCTTAGAAAAATATAGTAGAAATGTCCATGTCTAGTTCCCCAGACCAAGAGAAAGAAGAGGGTGATGAAAGTTTGTTTTTACCTTTTATTTGTAATCCTTCCTGTGAGTTGGTGACATTACTGGTTGTATTTATTTAACTAAATCATTTCATTTGAATATAAGTCTCAGTCATTCTCTGGCTTTTATGCAGATCCCAGTAATTCTGTGTGTCCTTTCTTGGAGGAAAATTCCATCTTCCTCCTTCTGATTTGCCTTCTGTCTCACAGTTAGGAGCTGGGAAGAACTGTGACCCAAATCAAGTTTTTGTCTTTATACAGTTACTGAGTCTCAGTAACTGGCATTGGCAATTATTGCTTATGATCTGATTTGTTTCCTTGTCCACCCTTTGAGTTTTTGTTTATGAGTCAAAATTACTTTTGTTGGATTTACATTAGTTAAAAAGTAATTAAAAATGGAATGTGAATGGCCTTCGACCACATTTTCTCATGGTCTGGGGATGGAATGGAAGAAAGTCGAATCCATCCTTGGGGATCCAGGAATTTGTGCCAATAACTGTGAGCCATTAAAAATAGCTCTCAAGTACCCAGAGTGGGCGTCACAAAGCCCATAAAGTCCACTTGGAAGAGTCAGCCTTGCAGAAGAAATGTGAGCCATGTACTTGTTTCTAGATATTTGTCTGCACCAGACACGGTCCTCCACTTTTATTCACTACACTTTCCTGAAAAGGTGATAAAAATGTAATGTATAGAAGTTATATTTGTTCCTGGAGAACTAAAAAGGTGTAAAATTTCTCATTACAAATGTTTATTTTATGTCAGACTGTTATGCATTGTACATATATTTTTAAAAACATTAAAAATATGTCAAACTGAAAAGTAGAGCATTTTACAAACCAGTCATCTTATAGCTCAAATTTTGCTTCTGTCAGCAGTAGTACAGTCAAATCAGTAAAATACATTGTCAGTATTGTCATTAGGTCGGAATTATTGGTGGTGATTTTTAAGAGGTAGAATAGAAATGCATACAGTACATTTTGATGATATCTGGGTTTTTCTGTTTTCCTTGTAAGGCATTAGCTACATTTACCTCTTGATAAGTGAGTCTGGAGCAAGCCATATACCTCGTGAGTAGTCTCACAAATGCCTGTGCATTTGAGTTAATGGAATGTTCCAATGCTAGTTTTCATTTTCTTTGTTAGTAATTTTTTCCCTAAACTTTTATTTCTTTTCACTGCCTAGATAATCTCCAGACATCACAGTCTTGGTATTTGAGAAATGTTTGCTCTTCCTTCTCTCCTTTGCCCTCTGATCAGCTTATGTCCTATAACTGTCGGTTGACTGTGAGGCTCCATGTTTGTACCCTTAGTTATGTCCACTTGTTTCTGGTTGCATTGTTAGCATCAGCACTTATATTTTTTCATTTCCACTCATTTTAAAGAAACTAATGTACATAAATGTGGCCCATTATTCAAATCAGCGTGCAGAAAAACATCGCTTGGCAAGGTAGAACTGCCGAGTACTGCGCTCCACTGTGATGGGTGGTGGGATGTGTTTATCCATCAGTCAATGTGTGGTGGTCCCAGCTAGGCTTAGGAGGGCACTTTGAGGACCCCCCCTTTTAATGTTCGCGAGGGCCAGCTGCACGAAAGGCATGCTGTGGAGTTGTGGAGTGTCAGAAGTTCCTGTCGTCCTGTTAGAAACTGCAGGTTAAGTCCTCTCTGGCTTTCACTTCCCTTTACAAGGTGACCAGGTTGGTCTTAGGATCTTTGAGTTGCTTTCCACTGCACTGTGATTCCATGTGGGCTGCTTAGACCTGTTCACTGAAACTAAGCATTCTTTGAAGAAGATTATTTAATTTATCTAAAATTTTCCATCCCAGTTTAGATAAGAAGGTAGAATTCTTGTTTCTATTTACTTTCCCTTTACCTCAAATCAAGGCAGTGTGTATCAGGATATAATATTGTGATGCAGTTTGAACATACAGTCCCAAGTAGGGAAATGGAAAAGAAAAGAAAAATAAGAAGCGTCAGAAGTGACGCAGAACTGTGAAGATTTGGTGGCCGGCAGCTGTGGGCGGGCAGGGGGTGGTGCGAAGGAAGGAGGGGAGGAAGGACAGGGCTCTGTGAGGAGCTAGTGTTTGGAGGCCCTGTACGGGGCATGCGCCGTGGGGGAGAAGGCCTTTCTGCCCTGCAGGTCCTTATGCCCCTCTGCTTAAGTCGGTGACATCTGTTTCACCCCTTAAAATTTTAAAAAATGAAACTTACCTCCCAAGTTCCCTTAAAAGAATAAAAAGTAATTTACCTGCTCAGATACTAGGTGCACGCACAGTGGTCCTCCCGCGTGGTGACAGCCAACCGCACACCATGCTGTTCGGAAGCGAGCACCTTTTGTTTCTTCGCCATGCGCCGTTCCAGCTGTGCCTTCCGTGCCTTGAGACCACACCGCGCATTTGGGGTGCGAAGTCACCCAGATGAGTGCAACTGCGTCAGCTCATCACTGCGTTTGATGTGGTGGCTTCAGAGCAAGCAGCTTGTCGATCCAGTTTATCTAAGACCCAAGTCATGATTCAGGAAGGCCCCCACAGTGCTCCCTAGAGAAGGGCTGGGGGCTGTTGTGGGCGATTAGATAACGGCACCAGAGTGGAGCCCTCACGAGTGATGACGGGTGACTTGTTAAGAAGAGAGAGACCAGAAGACACGTACACACAGACGCACACTTTCTGTCTCCTGCCATGTGATGCCATGTTATCTCGGAACACTGCCAACAAGATGCGTTCCCTCCAGTGTCTAGAACTGTGACCCAAATCAAGTTTTTGTCTTTATACAGTTACTGAGTCTCAGGTATTTTGTTTTAGTGAATTAATAATACTTAGCTTCCCAGAGTATATTTGATGGGGTGTCACCGCATTCCCAGGTAAATTGAATTAAGAGAGTTATGTTGGTTACAAGGATAGATCAACTCTAGGGCGTCTTTAGGTAGCAGTTTACCGGCATCTTCTCACACACGTGTACAACAAGGTCCCTGTTTCCTTTGTTTGGAACAGGTAAGAGAAATCTGGTGAGGAGAGTAGTTTCAGCTTATTGTTGGAATTCTGTGTCGGAGAATAAGAGACAATTAAATGCCATAAAGTGGCACGGGGAAGTGGCCTGAACTTTAAGAATGTTCCCTGTCTCCTTTATTCTCTCCCTTTACCCTGAGATTTTCACATTTATATTAATTATCTCCACAGCTCATATTAGGTTATACCATAGAATCTGAATTTCAGATAAATGTCCAAATCAGAAAATAGGCTTCTAATCTTTCTTAGGCTGTTAGAAAAAAAAATGTACTTTCTGTTTCTGAATCATTTTGTTCGGTGAAGAACAGACCTTATTTTTCAAATATCTCCTCGCCAAAATAACTGGAAAAATCTCACTGAAAGACTGCTCAGGGATGCTGGAGAGAGCTGCAGGTCGCCGTGTGGAGGGACAGCAGGCCTGGGACCAGCAGGGATTCCTGGGCCCGAGCCTCTGCCTTTGTTTTGATACCTGGGACGGGCAGTTGCCTGGAGGTCTCTTCCCTCGCCAGAGCCAACATTTCCATCTGGAAAGCCAAGATACTAAAGCAGTTGATCTTTAATGTCCTCACTTTCGTTCTGCGATATATGTATGAGGTGCTATTCTTGAGAAAGACACACCTGTCCTGTCACTTACTGAGGCCCATGGTATTCATGTGGATAAAATCCACTGTTCTTCCAGCAGCGGTGGCTCCTTGTCCTGTCTCGATCCTGTCTCATCCTCTACTGTGCCTGCTTTTCCCAGCAACATCTTATGATGAAAATACTCCAGCATACAGAACAAGCTGAAACAATTGTCCGGTAAGCCTTCACATAGGTACCACCTGGGTTTGACAATTAACATAGTGCTATACTTGCTTCGCCACTTACTCACATATCCTCCGTCTGTCCTTTTAGCTCTCTACAAATCCATCTGTTTTTTGTGGGAGGGGGCAGAGATTTCAAAGTAAGACTTCCACCTAAATGTGGGGAACCATCTAGTGCTCAATATTTGTATACAACTATTTTGAAGGTGAATGTCCCATCCAATGAAATGCACTGATATTAAATAGATCATTGAGTTCTGACAAATGGGTACACCTGTGTAATTCAAACTGTGTTCCTTTGACCTTTTTTCCAGTCTATCTTCAATACCTGTCTGAGGAATGTATTGTTCTGATTATTTTTCCAATGAGGATTAGTTCTGCCCATATATTACTTTATGTAGAGAGAATCATGCAGTGTATACTTTCTGTGATTGTATGCTTGCACAGAATAGCACATTTTCCTAATGTGAGAAAATTTTAAGCTATGTTTATAGTTTCTGATTAATGGGTATAGTATCATTTCAGTGTATTGCTATGTAGTGATTTCCAAACCTTAGCTGCCATCTGGAAGGTTGTTAGGGCACAGACTGGCCTCCCCAGAGTTCCTATTTCTTGGGTCTAAGTTGAAGCCCATCCAACAGCGCCTGGTGATGTCGATATTGCTGGTTTTGGAACCATACTTAGAGAACCATTGTCTTATATAGGGTCTTTTGTCTGTTTGTTTGTTTGTTTGTTTTTGAGGCAGGGCCTCACTATGTACAGTAGTCTGCTGGCCTTGAACTTACTATGTAGCCCAGGCTGGCCTCAGACTCAAGGCAGTCCTTCTGCCTCAGCCTCCCAAGTGCTAGGATTAAAGGTGGGCATCACTGCATCTGGACTTATATAGAATCATTTTAAGTGTTTTTTAAATGAAGTTTAAATTTCCTGGGAAAAATGGCTCATGTATGAAACTGTTCTTCGTATAAAGTTATTTTTTAGAGTCTTCCTATTTTATTTTGTATCAGACTTCTTTGACTCCCTCCTATGGTGGGAATTGAGAGCTCACTCATGGTCATGGGGTTCTTCGCTTTTGATTTATTTTCTGTGCCATCCCCCCCGGCCATGAGAATTGGCTCACAGTTTCCTAACATAGAGGGCCCAAGTAGTTTTGAATTTTCCATTATGAGTTCATTTCTATTTTTATTTTTCCTTATACTTAGTTTTATTTTGTCTTTTATTATTTTAATATGAAGGTGAATTTTAATATTTTAAGATTACTAATGTGTTTTTAAATGCAGTTTTCCCTAAGTATAAATCAGAAAATTCATACACAAGTACACAAATACATACACACACAGACCCCCCCCCCCCCAGAATGAAAGAATAAAAAGATAAAAGATCATATAGGAAAGCAGATTTCTCTCCCAGCCACCTATTTCTCTTCCTTGGAGGCATCTGCTGTTTCCAGCTCTTGATATATACTCAGTCCTCATTATTCAGAGAGTCTGTATTTGTGAATTTGCCACTCATTAAATTTTATTTTTAATAAAATCAGTACTTGAGGCTCTTCCGTGGTCGTGTGCATGGGACAGAGGAGAGCTCCTGGCTTCACTAACAGTGGCCACCCCTCCCCCCTTGGTGCCACCGAGTCCCCTGAGGATGGACTGGGACAGTGTGCCTCGGTGTCCTCTACCACCCTATGGTTACCTTCTGGCAGCTCTCAAGGCTGCTTTGCAATCACTATTGGTTCCTGTCTCCCAGTCCTCTGTTCCACACATTCCTGCTGCTGCTGCCTACCTGAAGAAGCAGCTAGAAACCGCACCTCATGTGGAAGACATCAGGGAGGGGTCCGGGTCCATTATCCTCAAACTCCTAGAAGCTGAGACCAACACATCAAGCCCTCTTGGAGATTCCCCAGTTTTAGTTCTACCATTTTTGCAAAGATGGGGCAGCTGTCTTGATTGCAGGCCTGTCTCCCAGTGTTCTGCAAAACTGCCTCCATGATGGCTGTGACTACCTTGAAGGCCCTACACCTGCCCTGGGAGAGGTTGTCCCTGACCACAGCAGATTTGAATTTGAACTCAGCAGAACTGAATTTTCACCAATCAGTAGATTCACATCAGAAGCTTGATTTAGATCAGTTTGGACTAATTGGTAGGCTCAAATTCAGACCCATCAGCAGGCTAGAGTTTGGACCAGTCACAGGCCTGCAGCTGCTACGTAAACAGCAGTCCTCCCCCTCCTTGAGTTGCTGTAGGAGAGGTTTCTCTCTGTATTCTCTGTGCTGCAGCACCACCTTGTCTAAATAAATCCTCTTTTTGGTGGTCCTATAAATCTACTTGTGATTTATTTCTCGGGTATCATGGTCTTGGAAGGTCCTGTAAATCTACTCCAGCAACTGACAGTTGTAACCTATGGCACCTGGGAGCCACTAGCAGAGCTGCACTTTTGCAATATGTGATTTTGTGATATCTGTCTTAATTGAGCAAAGAAACACTGGACTAACTGGCAACATGCTGATGAGTAGATGAGGGAGTTGCCTGATTGGTGAATTCTCAGTTTAGGGTGAATAAAGTGACCTTCTGCCTTTACATCTCAGCTCTGTGCTATAACTAAGTGTCCTTTTGATGCAGTGTTTAGTCTCACATTTCACACGTTCTTGTGCTTTTTGTCTGGATTCTGTTTTATCAGTACATGTTTGCAGCGCACAGGGATTGCACTCCTCATGGGAAGCTGATACATGGATGGAACATGTCTTCTCTTTTCATCCCCTTCTCCCCCTCCATCTCTCAGTCCGCTTCCCATTTCCAAAAGATCTGTCTGCCTACTTCCTATTATCTGTCTTTTATTCTCTTGATTTATATTTTCTCATATAAGGGAAACTGCAGAATTTAAGCTTGTGAGTCTGATTTATTTCACTTGACATTATGATCTCAGGGTGCATCCATTTTCCTACAAATGACTCGAGTTTATTCTTTTTAGAGGCAGAGTACTACCTGATGGTGTATAATACATTTTCTTTATCCAGTCATATGTTGATGGACGTAGGGTTTGCTTCCAGGATTTAGCCATTATGAGTTGTGCTGCAGTAAACAGGGGTGTGAGTGGATCACCGTAATACAATGACTTTAACTCTTTTGGGGAGAGACCCAAGAGAGGAATAGCTGGGTCAAGTGGAATTTCTATTTTTAGTGTTTTGAGAACTCTCCATACTGATTTCCATAGTGGTTGTAGTTTATATTCCCAGCTTTTGCTGTTTAAAATGGCCCACAAATGTAGGGCTGCAGTGTTGTGTGAGTGTCCAAGCACAGGAACGCTGTGAGGTGCCAACAGAGAAACGCTTGTGTCAGAAGTTCATTCAAGCTTGATAGTGCTGTAGTCATGAGCTCAGTCTCAATGCATTAGCGGCATATACTAAACAAGACGTTTTCAGACAGAAGCACACATATGACAAGGTTATGTACTGATCAGCTGGCAAAGGGTCCATCGCTTCCTAGGAAACTAACCCTGTATTTCCTCTATCACCATTGCTTTAGAATTTGCTAATTCAGTTCTTACAGCTACTTTGAAGATCATAACTGCAAGAAATGAGAATCTATTCTATATGTATTATTTTTCTATACCTTCCAATTTTAGTTCCATGATTTCATGTATTAGCCAAGACTTCTGAGGTTACAGAGTACAGTCAGTCCCTGACTTAGGAACATGTTCTGTTCTGGGAGAAGGATTGTAAGTTGGATTCATTCTTAACCCAGTAAAGTGAGTCTTAGTCGGTACACCAGTGAAAGTTCACAGCTTGAATGTTCCTAAGTTGCCGACTTACAGTGTAGACGTCCTCCCTGTCGGGGCGGAGTTTGGCAGAGAGCACAGTGGTGTGCTGGGGCTGGCCGGTGTGATGTAATTCTGTTCTGCCCTCTTGCTACTCTGTTCAGAATATAATTTACCTTGCATAGACCAACCTTCTTGGAATTATGAATTCAAAGAGTGTTGCTTGATTTTCACTTTTGTCAGTGGCTTGCTAAATGAACTGTGGTTTGCTTTTCCAACCACTTTAGCATTGGATCTTCTATGGAGAATAGATGGAGCTGTGGAAATGCACCTGTGAGTTGAACGGATGGTATCTTTGCTCAGATAAACAGTGTTATTTGCAAATGTATCACCTTAAATGTTCATAATGGCTGTACCCTTTCTGACTTGGAAAAGCATTGCCCTTGTTGGCAAGTAGCTTAAGATCTACTAGATTAGCACAGTCAACGGATGAGTTCAGTGCCTGTGTTATGTGCCTTTCGAGATGTGTGAATAGGAAGCAGGTGAGGAGGAAGAGGAGCTGGCTGAGTTCTTCCTGGGGAGAATATGAGGGATAGACATGGGTTTTGTAGAGATAAAACTGTCTGGAATTGGGAGTCATATCAATAGGGAGATAGATTCAGTTTGGAAAGACATTTCACAGAGAGCTCGCTGGGATTGTATCCACTGTAGAAAGCAGGGTCAGCTGGTATTGGTCAGGCGTTAGGCAGTGTTTTGAAATAGCTGGGTGAATAGGAACCAAGGAGGTGTCATGACCTGGTTGCAGCCAGATCTGACCTTTCTGCCAGTAGACATGATTGAGTAAATTGTGTGTCTTTCATTGTGTTGTTTTAAGGATTAAATGAAAGGGTTAAAAAGAAGAAGAAAGGCTCCAAGAGAAGATGATGTTACATTACCATTTGTAGGTGGGAACTATTTTAGAACTTAATTATTATGGACCTAAGGACTGGCAAAGCCTTTGTGTACTGTGATTTACTCTCTCTTCCACTATAGTGCAGACTCCAGGATTTTATGGTTTTATTTGGAAAATCTTAGATAAAATCAGTTTATATAGAACACTTAGAAGAAAAGACATTTTAACTTTGAGGCTATTTTTTTTGTGTATAACAGTAACATTTCTAATTGCTTAAAATAGTATTTAATATGCAGTTACTGGGTTGATTTAAAACAATTTTTAATTTTACTTGCTATTACCATTCTGCTTGCTAAATTATTTCAGGGTTAAAACCTTATTATTTTTCATTACTGGAATGTTTTTATTTTAAAACTGTTATGTGCATGTATGTTAGTGACATATTAAAATTATTTTAAATGCTGTATTTCATGAATAATTAATTACAGTCTCCAAATATTGAATATATAGAGCTACTGTTCAGTTAATACTTTTTGTTGAAAACAAAAATTAATGATTGGTAGTAGGCTGATCTAACTAGCATTTTTGATGTCTCACTTAACTTTTTTGAGTTGCTAAAGAACATGAGGGATGATTTTAGTATTTTTGATTTACATAGTGTACATGTATATTACACTTTTTTCATGTACTCTATTGAGAAGAATTTTTCCCTTGGCATATTTAGGAGAGCAGTCATACTCATGGACATTGATAGCATAAACTTAGTTTTTTGTTGTTGTCATTTTTTTTTTTTGGTACCGGGGATTAAACTCAGGTCCTTTTGCTTGCGGGACAGGTGGCAGAACCACAGAGCTAAATCCCTGGGCCTGTTGTTATCATTTTTTGAGATAAGGTCTTGCTTGTTTCAGGCTAGCCTTGAACCCTCAAACTTGTAGTCTTCCTTCCTCAACCTCCTAGAGTCCTGGGATTATGGGCAGGAGCCACCATACCTGGCTTAACATGGATTTAATTTTATGTAGTGATACTTTTTAGAATGAAAGATAGTAAAAGATTGATTGGGAATACTTCAATTCCAAATATGTTGATATCTTTGGACATTTATTAATAAATCTGTAATTTTGTAAGTCCTTGGTCTGTAGTCATTCTCTCATGTGTTTCTTTAATTATAGATTTTAATCTTTTGACTTAGTAATAGCAAAACTGATTTCTCTTGGAAATGAGTACTGTGGTTTGTGTTCAAAAAAAACTTTTGAAAGTTTTCTTTTCATTTATTTTTGCATTCATTACGAGATACCTTTCTCGTAAGTACCCCTCTATTATTGAATAAGTTTTCAGTGTGACAGAATACCTTCAATTCTCTAATTATTGAAAACATACTTGCAAAGAATTATATTGATATTCATTTCTCCACTGAATTATAGGGATGAAAAGACTCTTAAATGGGAATGTAGTGTTGTATATTCAGATAATAACTGTGTTAAAAATTGTGTCTCCCACTACCTTTTATCCCCTTAGACTTAATTTTTTAAAGAAGACATTATCTACACAAAAGTAGCTATTACGGAAGACTCCAGTGTCAAGGGATTTCCTCGGCTCTCTGATCCGTGTGTCCTGGAACTGTCTTTCGTAAGGCTTGTCTGCTTTGTGCAGCTGCCAAGTTCATGTGTAACCTTTTCTTGGCAAATGGCATAGTCAATACTGGAATGGGCCCTTGCCAAATGGTAGAAGCCTTGTGCCCCAGGCAACAAACCCTGTGTCAATTTCTTGTTGATGGCTGTAAACCATGGCTTAAGTACATTGTCGAGACCAGTGATGGGTAAAGAAATTACCAGTTGAGCTAAAAATTACTTACACATACATTTATCTGTGCAAGCCAAGCGCACTTGGGAATGGTAAGGGGCTGCAGGTATTTCTCAGTTGTCGTCCTTCTTGGAAATTGCAGTTTCCTGTGCTGGCAGCTCCTTTTTGGTCACCTACATGCTCTGGAATCAACCAGAAAAAACATGTTGTGATAAACAGACAAAAGAGTTTTCTCTTCATGTTCTTCAAAGGCCCAGGGTGGAAGCAAAGTTGTTGCTACTCAGAACTTGCAGCCATTCCTAGGAATTAGGTACAATGAATTCTGTGAAAAATAATAACAGTCTACCTGGACAAAACTCAAGGAAAGGGTATGGAATGCTGTCAGTACAGTTGGTGTCCATATGTTCTTCCAGAGATTACATGCAAATACATGTTAATGCCTTCCAAACACATTGTCCTTTTGGTCTGATAATGTTTAAATGGTCCCACTTTGCAAATTGTTTTATCTTGAACTCACTAGAAACAATTGGATGAGAGCCATTCATTCATTTATTGGTATGTTCATGGAACAAGCAATTCTTTTGTGCAGGTACTTTGTATGCCTCATCTTGCACAGAAACAATAAAATGAATGAGTCCTACCCTCAGAGTTCTTTTTCTAGTGGAGATATATTCATGTTCATAGGTAATTACTTCCTGGGTCAGCTGACATGAAAAGAATGAATATCTTAAATATGCAACTAATTTTCTTGTTTTCAATCAAGCCAGCAGGAAGTAAGTGTTCCTGGTGCTCAGTCAGTTCGATTTCATAGAACCAGCATGTTCTGACTTCTGCACATTCAAGCTAGCCTCTTGGTGGTCTTATTCTGTGTGCATTGCACAAGGCTCCTCCCAGAAGAACCCCAGACTAATTCTCCAGGACAGATGTCGAGAAATCAGTGCATGATCTCATCACTCACTGATGATGGCCTTCCTTTGCCTGTGACTTTTTATCTGTTACAGCCTCCCTCTCAGAAGGAAGCTCTGGCCAGGGTAACCGGGAGCAGGAGCTGGGCGTGTGCAGTTTAATCTTTAAGACCTTTATTCTGTTTGACCAAGTTTGAACTCTGCTGTTGGCTTCTCTGACTCCTTTGGCTCCGGTAATGAAGGCATTCTGCAGCCCGATCTTGTCAATTCCTCTAAAAATAAAAATAGCAGCTTTGTTTCTCCTGAATTGAGAACATGCTCCTTCTAACATTTTTCTCTGTTATATTCCTTTAATGTCATCTATCACTTTGATATTTGTTACTATTTTGCCACATAATTAAAATTCAAAGAGAGCGGTTTACATATCTTTGTTGATACATCAGAATTAGAGAAAATGCGGTTCATTGAAGGATTTGAAATCCTGGGATTGTTCCCCAACACATAGGTGCTAAGTGTGAAATGGGATGTGCTGCAAGAAGAGTTCAGAAGCAAGGACAGGTCATTTGGGTTGGACTCTCGAGGACTCTATTTAATATTGGGAGCTGTTAAGGGTTTCCCAGCATAGTAGTGAAATGGTCACATGTGTGTTTTAGAAGAGCCTCCTGGCTGCCATTGTGAGGTGGAAATGCAGGTAGAAAAGCTGAGGGAAGAAGCCAGATAAGGGGCCAGCTGAGAATCTGTCTGCAGCTCTAAAATCAAACAAAAACCAAAAAACAAAAAGGCTGAAAACAAAGTTTTCTTTTTTCATTAATGTAGGCCCATACTTACTTGGTTATGGAAACTGAACTGATTGGACCTGTGAATTGTTTCAGTTCTCGTACTGTTACTGCTATTTCTGTTATTTTTGTTGCTGCTGGTGCTGTTGTTGTTGTTGTTGTTCTTGTTGTGTGTGTGACTTCAAATATAATTACACTATCAAAACCTAAAAAAAGACACAACCTGTGGATAACAGCCAAAATGAGGACTAGAAAGATCTATTATCATTAGTACTGAAATACTTTTTAAAAAAACATTTATATAAGTATATTAGAGCACATAAGAAAGGTAGCAATAAAGTCATGCCTTGAAATCAGCAGTCTCCTCAGCGTGGCACCACAGGATAAGTCAGAAGTGTTCTGGAGGGGCAGACCTGTCACCGGAAGTGGAGGGAAGTGACCTGGTGATGGCATGTCTCCTGTGGGGCAAGGGGTCAAGAAGATCAAAGGCCAGTGGCTTTGAGTCTGGGCCCGGGGTGGGTTGGTGGCTGGGCAAGGGACCCTTAGGTGCCAAGACTTCAGGCAGCTGGCTGTGCTCAGGGACTGCAGGGCCCCCGGGAAGGGGGAAGGCCTGAGCCCCCAGAGGAGGCTGTCCCATGGTGTCCCGGCCTGTCATGGCTCCTGCACGGGTACGGCAGGCACATGGACAACTAGGGAAGGCTGGATGGCTGCCCCACGTTCATCTTCCTCCACCCAGAGCTGCATTCCCCTCAGTGCAGCTTCTGCTCAACGACCTGGGCCTGGGCACGAAGCACCGGGTCACTCCATCTGTGGTTACCGGCCGGAAGGCAGATGGCCTGGGCTCTGGGTCTGGCCTCCTTGTCTTGGGCTCCAGGACCTCGAACCAGAGCGGCCCGTCGAACTTTCTCTTTCCTTTCGTGCTCTGGGCTAGGGCCTGCAGGACCGTCTCCTTGTTGCAGGGGTCTGGGCGCGCTTCGGGCCGCGGGCACTGGTACGGGCTCTCCGGGCGCAGAGAGGCGTTGACCCGGACTCGCACGAGGTCCTGAAGCCCCGGGCCCCTGTCTGCCCACAGCCTGCGCTTCTTGTAGTTAAGGCGAGCGTAGGAAAGCTCCTGCCTGAGGAGCAGCCCAGAGGGCAGCCTGCAGGGAGCAGGGCTCCTGGCCAGGGCAGCCAAGGCCGCCTGGGCCCCGGCGTCGTCCCAGTCCGGCTGCGTCGTGTGGAGAGCAGGGGCCTTGGGCCTGGGCCTCCGGTGCTCGAACTGCTGGGCAGGAAGTGGCAGCGCGGCCTTGGGCTCGGCCAGGTCCCCGCTCAGGTACCTGCTCAGGTAAAGGCCCATGAGGGCTGAGCTGCCGCGGGGAGGTGGAGGAAGCGAAGCTCACAGGCCCAGCGCAGAGGCTGACTGCGACCGCTGACCCTTGGCCTGGAACGCAACGGTAGCTGCCAAGTTGCCAGGCGGGGCGCAGGCCCTCAGGAACCTCTGTCTGGCTCCAGGCAGGCACTTCAGCGCCCCGGGACCCAAGGGCCTCACGGTGTCGCAGTGCAGGCTGCAGGGCACGGAAGTTCCAGCCTCTGCTTTTCTGCTCTTCCAGCAGAAGCACTTAGCACAAGCCTCGACCCTTGTCCCTGGCATTGCGAGGGAGGAAACGGGGATTTCTGCAGACGCTCTTGACAGAAGGCTGCACTCCGTCATCCCCGGAAAAATGAATGTAATACGCTCGGATTTTCTTTTAAGGAAAAAAAATAATTTGCTTTGTTTAGTGAAGATGACTCGTATATCTTTTATTTTAAAAATTAATGCATGTTTTTAATATAGAATAGTGACACTGGTTTTGGGGAATTGGTTCATGCATGTAGCATATCTTGATTATCATCAATCCCTTTACCTCTCCTCTCTCCTTTTGCCCCCCTCTCCCCAACTCCTTCCCCATCGCCAGATGTCCACCTTCTGGTTTCCTATCATCTCTCCTTATTTGATTCATTTATTCATTTACAGTGTAGGTTAATAATATAAGAGAATACATGTGATATTTAACTTGTGAATCTGGCTTATTTTGCTGAGCATTCTGGTCTTAAGTTCCATCTGTATTCCTAAAAAAGATATGATATCTATTTGGAATGATATTCCATTGTGAATGTATACATTTTTAAATACATTTATCTGTTGATGGGGACCTAGGCAGTTTCTAAAGCTTAGCTATTGTGAATTGTGTTACTGTGAACATGCGTGTGTATATTATACCCATGAAAATCTCCAGTTCGATTCCCATACTGGTCCTTCTAGTTTACTTTTTTTTTCCCCCATTATGTTTATTGGTGCATTTTAGGTACAAAATACAGTTACATTCATCATTGGGAACTTGTACCTTTACATGATGTATCTTGGTTCTTATTTTTTCCTCTTCCCCTGCCCTCCCTTTACCCCTCCACCCTTCCCTGTTTGTTTCCATTTTTTTCCTTTTCTCATATTTTTTCTTTTCTCT